TGAAAACATTTTGATATTAAAGCTTATACTCTATATTATTATCTATGATAGCAGTGTAGATTTACGATAAATATTTTGTTGCAAGAGCATGACGATCTAGGGAAATGTTCACATGTTTTCCCATATTACCTAAGTGTCAAGAGATATTTCTTAGGGTCACATTATAGTCATAGATGTAGAATATGTTATGTTATACCACATTACATATCCCCATGATAAATGGAAATTGAAAAGAAAACATGTACATTATATATATGTGTGTGTGCAAACCGAGATGCAAATACATTTAGTCTAGCACTGGGTGCAATAATCTTCCCATTAACATCCTCATCACTATTGAATAATGCATCATAGAGTGCAGCATCAGATCTGAACTTCCCATTTTCTTCTAGTCTGAAACCAGGCAGAGGAGCTCATTAGCTATGGATAGGTCCGATATGCAAAGCTGAGCCTCGCCCGGGCTATGCCCGTGAGGGAAGCCCAGCCTGTGTCGACTAATGCCGACTCGGAAACATGTGTCAGCTGCTGCTGACCAACTGAGCTTGGTCCTTACCCGCCGTGGTGCCCAGCCACAGCAGTAACCTCCAGGCGACAATTGCAACTTCTCGCGCCTGTGCGGAGCACGAACCGCCACCCCCTCGGATTAGAGGCCGACTTCTTATCACTGTACTAACCCGGAGGCTCTATATCTACTAGGTCTGCTTCTCCTATTTATATCCACTTTCCCCTCGCCGCTACTGGTAAGGTCAAGAGGTTAAACAAATGCGAAGGTCCTCTACTTTTTCAAATCACTATTTGTGATTTGAAAGAGTAGAAATTCTCAACAGTTGCCTCGCATCGACCTTGGATAAGAGTTCAACCCGCGGTCCAGTCCATACATAAGTTGAAAATTACTTGTGCAAAGACCTATCCTTTCCTCACTCTCCACTTGACAAACTTTCAGTATCAGTATACCACCACGCTGTTTGTATACTTTCTTATTCCAAGTACCATGATTTCCGAGAGTGGTTTGTGGTACACCAAGTCGTACGCCTTGAGGTCGACTTAGGCTGCAAACAGCCAACCATGAAAATCATTATGTCGCTCTGCATTTGGTCACTTCCAAAGGCAAGAACCACATACCCTCAGTGATGTAGCAATTGAGGATGTTGTAAAGCTTGGAAGCAGACTTAAAATACTCGGACAGGGAAGGGCGTTGGAGGGGCATGCCGAGAACCCAGTTGGTCGGAGTGGAAGAAGCTCGTTAATGTTTGCAAACTGATTGTTGGCAGTGGCGTAGCCAGAGCGGGAAGATTGGGGGGGCAAACAGGTAAGAAAAATAGCAGGGGGTCCGGGAATCTTCCCCCGGGAAAATTTAAGACCACGCCCCTTAGAATGCTGGAAAAAGGCTCTTTTTAGATGCCTTATAATGAGCTATGCCATTTGTGCAGTAAAAATTGTAGGGGGGCCCCCTAAAAATTTTATTGCAGATTTGCACTTTTCTCAGAGACCAACTTTCGAGGCTGCCCCCCCTTGCCCCCCCCTCGCTACGCTACTGATTGTTGGTGGTTTTAGCATCACTCTCGAATGAGCTGAACATTCCGCCAACTTAAGTGAAAGAACTGCAATTTCTTCAGTCACCAATTATGGTCCTAATATGGCAATACCTTAATCTCCGAGCTGATTGGATTGTTTCGTTAACCATCCCTTTATATTTCTCGTGTTGGCGCTGATCATCTCTGAATCCATCTTCAGAAAGTGGCAAGATGGAACAGCAGGGACTGCAATCGAGAGGGACAGCTCGCCGCTCCCTCTGAAGGCCCAGTGAACGACAGTGTGGGCGGCACCTGTGGGCGTAGGGCTTGGGCGGCTGGCGGCGGGCAACGGGTGGTGTCCCTCTCCCTCTATGGCGACAAGGCGGAGTACTGGCTTGGGCTAGACACCTTACTCACTCAGGTGAGTAGAACAAAGAGTGCTTATGAAGGCAGTGCAATATGCGGTTAATTTGAAGTCTCAATGTACACATTTATTATGTGAACATCACTGTCCTAGACAAGGAAGTTGCCAGCCCAAACCTGACGGCTATTTCGCAGGTGAGAAGGCATTACCCAGGGTGGAAAGTGCGGCTGTACACGGACGCTCGTTGGCGGAGGGGCGTGCTGTGTCCTCTGCTCCGCGACCACGCCCACTTCTACGTGTGCGACGTGGAGAACCTTCCACCCCCGCTGGGGGACGTGTCCGCTGTTCACCCGATGATATGGAGGACGCTGCCGCTCGGGGAAAGCCAGGTGGCGGCGATGCTCGTGCGGGACACAGATTCCCCGGTGAGTCGGAAGAGCAGAGGATAGCTTGTGCCCCCGCGTCGGATGGAGAGGCGAGGGCGCGGAAACTAGAGAGGAAAGGAGATAGAATGATGTTTTGGCCTTTCCAGATCTCGTCGCGAGAAGCAGCGGCCGTGGAACAGTGGCTCGCATTGAACAAAACCTTCCACGTTATGAGAGATCACCCTCAGCACGACACCACAATCCTCGGAGGCATGTGGGACGCGCGCTGGGACAACCTGCCTGCTCCCCGCGTGGCAGAGTTGGCTCAGGCGCGCCACAGGATGCTTGATCAAGGGCGAGGAAGGTCACACAGAGACGTCGACCAGGAGATCCTGAATGTGAGAGGAGCATGGCCTTGTTTGCAGGACACTTGTTCTTCTTGTACATATGCACACCACACACACACACACACAAGCCCACACATTACTATTTACTTTATTACTGTCATGATATTACGATATAAACAAATGATAAAAATGCACACCATTTTATATAAAAAAAACTTCATTTCTCAAAAATATCCTGTTTCTTTCTCTCTTTCCTAGAAAATACCTCGTTATTGCCAAGTGGTCGAAACGCATAGCATGTTAGGTCTTAAGTGATTTTCACCATTTACTCTCTCTTGTTTGCTAGTATTAGTAGTTTTCTTTTTCTCTGCTGTATATCAGTATGTTATACTATTCTATTAGTATAGTATATTGTTTTGTTAGTGTTATACTGTTTAATCAGTGTGTTATACTGTATTTGAGTATGTTATACTGTTTCTCTCTCTCCTGCAGAGTGTAATATGGCCATTAGCGAAGGGCAGGATGGTGGGTCACGACAGCTTCCTTTGCCAAAAATATCCTCACTCGGTTCCTTGGCCGACGCAGCGAGAGGCCGGGCTCTTCGTAGGAGCGCCAAGGTAGGTCCAGGTAGGAGGAGGAAGAGGAGGACGGAAGGAGGAGGAAGAGGAAGGGGGAAGAAGGGAGGGAGGAAGAGGTGGGAGGAAAGAGGATTAGGGAAGAGAGGAGGGAAGGAGTAAAGATTACGGAGGAATAGGAAGGAGGAAGTGGAAGGATTAGGGAGGAAGATGAAAAAGAAAGGAGAGAGGAAGAAGGGAGGAGGAAGGAAGGAAGAAGGGAAAAAGGGAGGAGGAAGGAGTAGTAGAGGAAAAGCAAGGAGGAAGAGGAGGAGAGGAAAAGGAGGAGGAGAAGGAAGAGGAAAAGGAGGAGGAGGAGGAAGAGGAAGAGGAATAATAATTAACAACACATAGATATTAAAGGATGGCACATGCACACACGCTACCGCGGGGGGAGGGGGAGTTACCGGGAAAGGGAGAGGGAAAAGGGGGTTGGGGGGGAGAAGGGAGAGGGAAAAGGAGGTTGGGGGGGGAGAGGGAAAAGGGGGTAGTGGGGGGAAGGGAGAGGGAAAAGGGGGTTGGGGGGGAGAAGGGAGAGGGAAAAGGGGGTTGGGGGGAAGGGAGAGGGAAAAGGGGGTTGGGGGGAGAAGGGAGAGGGAAAAGGGGGTTGGGGGGAGAAGGGAGAGGGAAAAGGGGGTTGGGGGGGAGAAGGGAGAGGGAAAAGGGGGTTGGGGGGAGAAGGGAGAGGGAAAAGGGGGTTGGGGGGGAGAAGGGAGAGGGAAAAGGGGGTTGGGGGGGAGAAGGGAGAGGGAAAAGGGGGTTGGGGGACAAGGGAGAGGGAAAAGGGGGTTGGGGGGAGAAGGGAGAGGGAAAAGGGGGTTGGGGGGAGAAGGGAGAGGGAAAAGGGGGTTGGGGGGAGAAGGGAGAGGGAAAAGGGGGTTGGGGGGAGAAGGGAGAGGGAAAAGGGGGTTGGGGGGAGAAGGGAGAGGGAAAAGGGGGTTGGGGGAGAAGGGAGAGGGAAAAGGGGGTTGGGGGAGAAGGGAGAGGGAAAAGGGGGTGGGGGGGAGAAGGGAGAGGGAAAAGGGGGTTGGGGGGAGAAGGGAGAGGGAAAAGGGGTTGGGGGGAAGAAGGGAGAGGGAAAAGGGGGTTGGGGGAGAAGGGAGAGGGAAAAGGGGGTTGGGGGGAGAAGGGAGAGGGAAAAGGGGGTTGGGGGGAGAAGGGAGAGGGAAAAGGGGGTTGGGGGGAGAAGGGAGAGGGAAAAGGGGGTTGGGGGGAGAAGGGAGAGGGAAAAGGGGGTTGGGGGGAGAAGGGAGAGGGAAAAGGGGGTTGGGGGAGAAGGGAGAGGGAAAAGGGGGTTGGGGGGAGAAGGGAGAGGGAAAAGGGGGGTTGGGGGGAGAAGGGAGAGGGAAAAGGGGGTTGGGGGAGAAGGGAGAGGGAAAAGGGGGTTGGGGGGAGAAGGGAGAGGGAGAAAGGGGGTTGGGGGAGAAGGGAGAGGGAAAAGGGGGTTGGGGGGGAGAAGGGAGAGGGAAAAGGGGGTTGGGGGGGAGAAGGGAGAGGGAAAAGGGGGTTGGGGGGGAAGGGAGAGGGAAAAGGGGGTTGGGGGGGAAGGGAGAGGGAAAAGGGGGTTGGGGGGAGAAGGGAGAGGGAAAAGGGGGTTGGGGGGGAGAAGGGAGAGGGAAAAGGGGGTGGGGGGAGAAGGGAGAGGGAAAAGGGGGTTGGGGGGAGAAGGGAGAGGGAAAAGGGGGTTAGGGGGAGAAGGGAGAGGGAAAAGGGGGTTGGGGGGGAGAAGGGAGAGGGAAAGGGGGTTGGGGGGGAGAAGGGAGAGGGAGAAGGGGGTTGGGGGGGAGAAGGGAGAG